AGATCGAAGTGTTGGGAGCAGAGTTAAAGAGAAGACAATTCATATAGATTGGGGTTGCAAGAATAATGAGTAGATGCTCGAGGGCCACTGTTTGCGACTCTCAGTCACACCACTGGGTCTCTAACGACCGGTTCCCATAATCTCGGAGTTCCCACCTAGGCAGCCTAACGTCAGCTTGTCATCTGGAGTCCTGGTTACGATTTTCAAACCTTCATGCCATATCTTGGTTTCATAATCGACATCAGTGTACACCGAGATACAGTGAAGCAAACTTCGCTGATCGCTGCCAAGCGTACAAAGTAAACAAAAAAATAAGGTACAAGATGGAGAGGGATTGGGTCCAAGTATTCTAAGCTGAGAAGTTAGTTGCGATATCTTACAGTGTCTCCAACCAGCCAGTTGTGGAGTCTTTTAGACCCCAATCTGGAAAACGGGAGACACCTATTCTACCCAATCGCTCTGTGCATTTCTTCAGACCTTGTTTCCAAGTCACCTGCTGAACTTCACGTGGGTTCTCCCAACATGAAGCCACAACTGCGATGCAGCAGACGATAGCTGGGCAAGCGTAATACGTCTCTTAGTTTGACCACCCTTGGCTTTTTACCCTCTGCTGCCTGCCTCAGCAAACAATGCACTCGAAGGAAACCTATTTCGTGACGCGCAACACTCGTCCCAACCAACTTAGTCTATGGAGGTCGACCACCAGTTCTAGTGGACGACCGCGGTTACCTAACACTCGCGCCTAACCTCAGCATTGCTCGTCCGGTTTCCCCACCAGACTCGTGCAATGCTACGTAGACAGCGGTGTTCGAACACCGACAGTCTATCTTTATCCTGTTCCCATATTGGCTACGTCAGAATTGTAAAACAGGACTGGCCGAACTGTTGCAGCATACACTCGACCCGTCACAGACAGCAGGATGTCGCAACGGCGCCACAGATGTCTCAAATTGGCAAATGTCAATCGAGCCTTTTGTATGCGCACCGACACTTCATCTGTGACGAGTCCACCAGTCAGGGTGCGGTTGGGGGCTGGACCAACTCAATCTTCTAGCAACATTTTACACTTTTAAGGTGCAAAACGAATAGCGAATACACTAGCACGCAAACTATCCAGAAAGGCTTGAAAATTGAAAACTACTTTATGTAGTGAACTCGGGTGAAATAGTACCGTAAGCTCGGACTTGACTTTGGCTATTAGTATAAAGCGATTGTAATGTTGAAATTAACTTCTCGGGCACACCCTTTTGGGCGAGGAAGCACCAGAGTTTAGGGCGGTCGACTGAGTTGAAAGCCGCTTTCAGATCGAGGAAGATAGAAATGATCGGTCCACGATAGGTGTCAGTGTTCTAGAATTTGGAGAAGGATGAAGATGCGGTGGATATAACTTTGACCAGGTCTAAAATTACCCCGATTCCCACGCGTGTACCGTTCATGTGCGGCAGCCAATCGATGGAGCATGATCCCAGCGAGCTTTATTACAATGTTGATTAAACTAATTCTACTGTGGTTTGCACAAGAAGAACTGTCACCTTTCTTCTACATTAGGCCGGAAGCCTTATACCTTGTGAGATAATGTATTTACCGGAAAACCTCCAGTTCAGATGGAGAACCGATATCAACCGGCAGTATATGCCCAATTGAAACAGGTGTAGGGAGGTCTTGTGTTGACGGGAGCCAGCTGAACTGTACCTCAAAATATTCAAGACGGCGCTGTTGAATATGAATCAGTGGGCTGTCTGACTCCTTAATTACCTCACTTACGCCTATTTTCCTTGGTCCTCTGCTCCTGATTAAACGAAAAAGATTGCGACTACTAGCGATAGCTACAGCCTTCTCCATCTCTCTACACATCCCAATTCACCACTTCTTCCACTCACTCCTCAGGCTTTTGATGAGCTGTCGTTTAGGGGAGTTGTGCGCTTTGTCATATTTTGTATCAGAAAGGACGGCTTTGAGAGCGTCCACCAAGGCAGCCGAGGGGAAGGAGATCTGCGATTTTTACTTCGATAGTGCGCCAGGATCCGTCGTCCTTTCGATTGACACCTGGATCGCTTTCTTGATTTGCTTCCAGTGTTCACTGGGTTTTCGACTGATGGTTGAGCTGAAAAGCAATGAGAGTTCCGCTACGAAGGCTGTAATGGTATTACGTGCATCCGCTTCCGGTAGCTTTTCTGCGCCTGTTTATCAGCCTTAGGGAGAATGAGGCTCGTATGGTCCGCATCCACAGCTGTTGATCAGGAGGAGCGAAAGTCTTCAATGGATCCTAGATAGTGGTAACTGATGGCGATGTGGTCGATTTGAGTACAGCACTGCGGTGGTGGCCCGGTGGTAACATCACCAAATTATCACCCCGAGGATGTGTTCGAATCCCACCACCACCGTCTGACTTCCACCATTGTTTGTTGAATGGCAGCCCTTTGATTGGTCGCCTCTCCCTTCCTGAAAATTGTATCTTGTACATTCAATAAAAAGAATTAAAATGAAAAGAATGAAGAGGTTGGCGGTTTCTATGTAACGCGGTGTCATTTCTTGTGCGAGAGGTCTGTGCTGGACAGGGACAGTCCATGTTCAGTGCGGAGTTGAAGCAGGTCATCTCCGTTGTTCGTTCGGTTGGCTGCGATTGTATGCGGTCCGTCAAGAAGCCTTCGTGATACTTTAAGTGATCCCACTTCAGCATTGAAATTTAAAGCGATTGCAACGATGTCCGTTGACTTTGGACCAGTAGACAGAGCGCCTTGTACAGTGTATCCTTCATTTCTTACAGTGATGGACTCCGGTGAATTCTGAGAAAAACCTGTCGTGGCAGTCAGCATACACGCTACCTGGTCGATGTCATATGTCTCCGTAAGTTATATATAATACCAACATGTAGCCAAGCATAGTCCTAACGCTACAACAATAATAGGGTTAATTGGGGTACAGAACATAGTGAAAAGAGGGTGGGAGAGTTAAAGGCAGGAACATGGAAGATAACTGGGATGACAAATTTTTTTTGCTACACCGTTACACTATTTGATATTTTTTGTGTTGTTTCTTGCTTTTTTTACGTGTCACGGGATTTCGACAGACAGACCGTACAGCATTCGCGCCACTGACTTCTATTCCGGGCTATATCTCTTACCGTATCTAACCAACGACAATCCTCATCCAACCGAAGCCAAAGCTGAAGCTAGTTTCTTTATACCTCTACGGCACGTTATGGTCTGACTGCCGCGCCGCTTCTTCTAGCCTTGCCCAGCACGTGCAAAGAGAGCACGGCGAGGAAGTCGATGGGCAGGCATACGCGAAACATGACCGAGCCATCGGAGGTTGTGTAGACCGATTGCTATCCGCACCCAACACACGACGACGTACCTCGTCATTGCTCACTCGATGTTCCCACCAGGCACGAGCAATGTTTCGAAGGCATCGGTGGTCCAATACAGAAAGTCGATTAACATCCTCTGCTCGGAGAGGCCAGGTCTCGCAACCGTAAAGTAGAACGCTACGAACCGCGGCGATGTACACCCTTCGCTTAAGGGACAGTCGGATGTCATTGCGACAACACAAGTATCTTTGTATATTCAATAAAAGGAAGTAAAAATGAAAAGAAAAAAAAATGAACAACCGAGATGCATGAGAAACCACTGTCTAAATAGAGTCTAAAAACTAACTAACACATAAGAAAGCCAAATGGCTCATTTCTTTCACAATTTGGTGGGGGATTCATCATTTGCCTTAAGAAAGAATGATGATGGGGCAAGTGGCCCAAGTGATCGAACTCACAGTAACTTGATTGCTACTCGGTGAGGCGTGGTCCCGAGCACGAGCAATGAGCGCATCCAACTGTTGATGTTCCGTCTCCAATTGAATAAGACGATCACGGACGGCACATTTTTCAATCTGAATTTCGTCCAATCGAGCTCGATCCAATTGTTCAGCCACAAAGCATGGTCTTTCAAGATGTGGATTATTGTCCGAGTCCTCCTCTTCAATTTTATCAGCCTTCGAGGGGGGATGCATTGCAGCTAGACTTTCCGGGAGTAAGATTTCGATTCGACTATTCAAAAGACCGGGAAAAAATGAAATACAGTTTAGTCAGCATTGAATTCATCTAGGTTGCAGTAGTTATGCCTCGCAACAGCTGATCTGTCCAAATAACTCAATTACGTCTTCTTGTAGAACTTTTTGTCTTTTATCACCAGTCTGTGCATTAGTAACTAATACTTACCAACTTGTTTATAGGTGAACCAAACATCGCCTTCGGGTAATTCAGAAATTCTTTAGATCCCTCGGAGTCTATTTGGCCTGCAGTAGTAGCCTCTCTGCAGCACGCCTCATTGCCTCAACTTCAATCTGCTGTGAAAATTAACATAAAATCTGTCATATTCAGAATTAGTGTCCGGTAAACTCTTTATCATAGAATCTTATATTTAGTATGGAATTTCACACTATTGTACGCAATATAAAGATATAACCATGTACATGTTATCATAACTCTATATAATGCACTTAAATAATACAAGAGGGAGCTATAGGTGCCATCCAGTCTATGCAACAAGAAATTACTTACCGAAAAGCAAGTTTTAGCCCACATTCGTCTGAACAATATTTAGTATCCGGTCTGGCTGCTGCTCGAGTACAGCCCGGACCGAAACACTGTCGAGGTTTGATCAGCTCGTCAGGTAACTGTACAGGACGCCCGTGGTCGGAAACAGGAGTTCTTCTGTTTGCATTCCGACCTTGTTTACGCGTTCCACCTCCGCTCACAGGCCCTGGGTGAAGTTTCGGTCGACCAGGTGGATGACGCCCTGCTCGTGCTGAATGACCAGTCAGATGCGACTGTGAGGCTGATCGAGGCATCAAATTAGATCCCAATTTTGTACGAGAATGATCGCGTAGATTTGACTGACGACCAATCGCAACAGCGTGTGATTTGTGTGCAGGGCGAACTGGACGAACAGTCCGACGCTAAAGATGGAGATGCATATTAGGAAACCACTTTAAACATGGAAACGACAGAGGAACAAACCGTTAGGCCCGGAAACAATACAACAACACGACGAGACTATACCTTGACGTGGTGTGATGGCTTGTGCACCTCTGTGACCCAACGAGCTACACAGGATGGCTTTATAAAGCCAGGAGATCATATCATGCTTGGAAGGTAAATGGGTAGAGATCAGACGTAGTTCAATCTCCTGGTCCTCTAGGTTGGGGGTTCGCCTGGAATTGGCGTTTCAGTCGATAAAAAACGGTGGAGGAGTAATCGATCCAAATAAATGGGCCTCCACTTCACCTCACCCGCTGCCTTGTAGTTAGGTTCTCCTTAGAACCAAAGGCTTTGGACGAGAACCCTAATCGTTCTCCTGCTTAGTGGCTGGACACCCTAGCAGT